AACAAACATTGTGAACAGTTGATGCAAAATTTTCAGCTTGCAATTAAATGAGTTGCTGCAATAATTATATTGCCATATACTGTATCTCATAGGGCAAAAAAGTTTTTAAAAAGCTGCATCCCCCCTGCAGGCTTACACATTTGAATTTCAGTTTGTGGCTTTTTTTCAGCACATGGGCACAACGCAGAGTGTTCTACTTAAGAGCTACCAAAATACCAACAGTGGTTGCAGCAAGAATTTTGCACCAGGGCTTCCTAAATGAAAACAAACTATGTTAACGTCCAAATAGTTTAGAGAAGTTTTTGCGCCAGCTGTAGTGAGACCATGTGCTATATTATCCAGTGTTTTTCACGTGTTCAATAAACATGACACACTGAAGTCAATTTGCCTGCATAACAAATGAATTAAAACTGAGATCCTAACTCTGACCTCTGGTAAAATGGTGAAGTTTTCTTTTTTGTCATGAAAAATTTAGTCCAAATGTCACTTGTTCCGTGTTGTGTTGCACAGTAACTTCTAAGGCTCAGTGATTTGGTAACTCTTTCGACTTTCAAGTACTTACTGGAGCAACTGTTGCACAAGCTGTTAGTTTCGTGCCCCCGGAGGCTTGTCCAATTTACCTCAAGGAGAGAGTCACACACTCAGGCTGGGTCCAACTCGAGTTTATTGTTTGCAAACAGTTCGACAAAGGAGCTCAGTGCTCAAAGCAAAGTCGCCCCCGAGCCGTGCCCGAGGTTTCATTTTTATAGCTAACCTGAACAATAGATTCCAGCGTAGTCCTAAAACGAGCAAGTAACAAGGGTTGCAAAATTTATGTGCAAAGCAGGCAGTAACTAATCTCTGTGTTCTCACAGGAATCAGTCTTATCGCAAGCCGAACATTTGTTCGGACTGTTCTTTATTATGCTACTGATTATCTAGTGCAGGAAGAAAGAAGAGAAAAAGAAACAATTTGCAGTTCTCAGCTGTGAAGCCTTTTGTGTAGTGAGATTACAGTTCTGAGCTGTGAGGTTCTTTGTGTAGTGAGATCATGAGACATTTTTGCCACAATTCCCCCCTCAAGATGCTTTCTAACTCTAATCTTAATAGGTTTCAGCCAGTGCTAATTTTTGATAATGCACAAGCATTTCTCGGTTGAAGACTGACTGAATTGTCTGTTTTATGAGGGCTATGAGACAGGGTAAAATACAGGGAAGCAAGCAAAGTATTAACATCATCAGGCAAAAGACTAAGAAAGCTCCTTTTAACCATCCAAAATTAGGGAGCCAGGATGTAAACCAATCAAAATTCCACCCATTCCATGTTTGGACTGGAACATGTGCTACCTCTTCCATTTCATCTGCTAACGCTTTTATTAACTTACCATTATCATCGATTTTAACACAACAATTCGACAAGTTCAGCTTTCTGTACACGCCTCTTTCACTTGCAAGTAAATAATTAAGGGCCAAGCGATTTTGCAGTACCGTGGTATGTAGTTGAGTAAGCTGGTTGTTAATCAGATGCAGGGCTGTGGCAGTCTTATTGGTAATAATTTTTACTACGGCCTGGAGCCTAATAATTCGATTTGTCAAATATGTGGGCTTTCTCCCAACCACGTTTTGCTTTTAAGTTGCTGGATCATAGTACTGAATTATTTTCTCCGCTGGCCATTTATCATTCCCCCACCTTTGGCTTCCCCCTGCCGCTATGCCCTCGAAGGAAATATTAGTGTTGCGCTTAGCTCGCTGAGTTTTAGGCTGTGTTATCCAAACACCGGGAATTAAAGCCCCCAAATAACAAGCTCCAGCCCAATTGGCGGGAAGCTGTCTATACGCCCATCGTCCGCAGATCCACCATAGCCCACAGGCCTCGTCTGCAATGGTGGTGCGGGAACTCATTAAGGTTAGAGTTAGTGAGCTTTTTGTTTTACTTTCACGTACTGTGGTACCGTCCCGGTAGTGGGTACAGTTAAGGCCCAAAACTGAAATCTGTTCTTTATCTAATAGACAGCTGCAATCATTAAACTTTGGGTACGAGACATTGGCGCAAGTCCATGTACTCTCCTGAGGGGCGATTTCATTAGAAATCCATGTCTCATTACACCTTGATCATCCTACTTTAAACCCACTTCCGTTTTGGGAAATACAAACAGATCTATTTATCTTTGCTACCATAATTCTTTCAGAACTATTATATCTCAAGGAAAAGTGTTGGTTAAAGCCCCAGTCTGAGACTATACCTGTCTTATTTAGGGGGATTGGCAAGAAAGGGACTTCCTCATCACTAGAAACAGGAGTAAGCGCACACAAAAGGCAACTCTGGTTAGTTAAAGCCCGGGCTGAGTCCTTGAGAAGGGCCACCCATGAATTTTCCACCCATGTGTTTGTAGGTGGGCCCTTAGGTTTCCAGATAGTAGTAAGTAAGGGGCTACTGACAGTTGTGGGCACAGTTGTAAAGGATTGAAGGCTTGAAGGCCGATCTTTGAGGATTGTAACCCAGAGTTTTGAGTCCGGCTTTATACATCTTGCCATCTTATCAACACTGAATACCAGTACTAGTATAATTTCTTGACGCGAGCAACATGAGGAAATGGGAAATAGGTGGGCATTGATTATAGCAGACTTAAAAGTTTCATAGTTGGCCTTACTAAGGGTTGTAAGTGTGTTTGGAAAACATTTACAACAGTTTGGGTTTGATATATCTAAAAGGGACGAAAGCTCCAATAGGTAGATCAGTGTCCACATCTCTGTAACCGTAACTTTAAATCCCCTACTGATTCACTTTTTCATTCGCTGGCTTTCTGTTCCTGGGTGTTATTAGCTTCCGGAGTGACAATACCCTGGGAAATGGTGTCCTTCTGATGGAAAGGCTTTACCCTCGAGCAGTGGGTCCACTTGTCGTTGTTTGATAAGCGAACAGCTGTGTGTGTAGTCAACATCACCTGGTAGGGTCCTTCCCACCTTTCCGCAAGGGGATTCTTCCTCCACTTCTGTACCAGGACCTGATCACCCGGTTTAAAGTTGTGGATCGGCGTATCAAGCGGGAGACACTGAAAGGGCGCAGTGAACCTGTGTAGGGACGAAGTAAACGACGTCAACCCCTACTCCTGCATCCAGGTGTTTGGATTTTCCCAAGTCTACAGTAACTTGTTCCCTCCACCCTGCTGGCAAGACTCTGGGAGGCATACCAAACATTAATTCAAAAGGTGACAATTTAATCCCTCTACGTGGGGTGCTACGAATATGAGTTAAAGCCAGTGGGAGTGCCTGCGGCTATTTTAAATGAGTCTCAATACAGATTTTCGTTAACATAGCCTTTAGCGTTCTATTCATGCGCTCCACCTGACCTGAACTCTGGGGTCTCCA